GCTAAGTTGGTGAACGGCGATTCATCTAGTTTTTTTCGTGCCTCTAGGGGTCATAGACAAGGGGATCCACTTTCTGCTCAATTGTTCATCATAGTCATGGAAGATTTAAACAGGTTATTGGAGAGAGTGAGAGAGTAGGGGTTGATGGTGGGGAGAGGGGATAAGATGGTGGAGGTTTCTCATTTATTCTTTCTAGATAATATATTGATTTTTTGCCACTCGGATGAAAAGATGATTCTTCACTTAAGGTGTGTGTTTCTATGTTTTCAAGTGGTCTGGCCTTAATATTAATTTGAAAAAATCAAAGATGTTTTGCATTGGTGACCGGAGGGAGGAGACCAAGCTTGCTAGGACGTTAGGCTATAAGTGTATTAAGTTTCTTATTAAGTACCTTGGCTTATCTTTGGGTTTCAAATTCAAGGAGGGAAGGGTGTGGGATATAATGATCAACTTGTTTGAACGTAGACTGGCTGGTTAGAATAGTAGATTCTTTTCCAAGTGTGGTAGACTTACAATAATTAAAAAACACACTATCTAATCTACTGATTTACTATTTATCTGCTCTAATAATTCTTACGTATATTGATAGAAGATTGGAAGCTACCCAGTATCAGTTTCTTTGGGGGATGAATAAGGGAGAAGAAGATTTCATTCGGTAATATAGGAAGATGTGAAACTTATTGTGAATCATGGGGGTTTGGGTCTTCGGTCTCTCACTAAAATGAAAATTGCTTTGCATGGAAAATGGTTATGAAGGTACTTTAAGGGAAGATGACATGTTGTGGAAAAAAGTAATTGATGCTCGTTGGGGTTGCTTTATGGGGGAGGGGAGTAGTGAGACAGCTAAACCTCATGGGAAAGGTTTGTGGAAAATGATTGGCTTAGGTCTTCAGAAATTTAAAGAGCATCATAAAATTAGTCAATCCTAATTCTCTGGCTCAACAAAAGCTCATTAGCTTGAAGACTCTTGAAGAACACTCATAAAATTAGCAAAACTAATTTTAAGAAGCAAGCAAAAGCTTGAAACTCTTATTGAATTCTCAAATTTGATAGTTGTATTTACAACTTAAGGGTTGAAGCCTTTATGTAGACTTCCTTTTATGAATTCAAATTGACATATAAAATATAATGCAATCCTAATTCTTAATAACACTTAGCCTAGGAAACTTAAAAGAAATAATTAAAATAATCTAGTCCTAATTTAAATAGGATAATTAAATAAGTTAAAATTTAAACTCTTCCTCTCATAGCTTCATCGAGTTAGGCCTCCTAATTGCATTCGACTTCTTCTTCTCATTTCTTTAATGATCTTATCGAAAGGATCTTGATGTAGAGTTGCTGAAACATTAAGGACTTGGAGTGGAAGTTTGAAAGAGGTCTTTGGTAAAGAGAAGGTTTCCTTGGCTAATTGATGAATGCCTTTGGAACTTCTCCTTTTGTTGAATTCTATCCTCTTATTCTTGAATATCCATCTCCTTATTAAAGTCTTTAATTTCCAGCTTGTAATCTTCTATGGGGAAGAGGAGTTTGTCAAGGATTTGATGTTGCGAAGGTGGAAGAAAATATCCTTCCTTCTCGGTGTTGAACTCCTCTTGAGGTTCTCCATTTCCATCTCGGTTTCTGGGTCCTTCTTCATTAAGAACCTTCTTGGCCGATTGTTCTTCAGCTTGGATTTCTTGATCCTCCTTCTCATCGGTCGTAGAGGGTGTTTCCTCCTCCTCCAAATTGGACTCATCATGGATGCTCCCTTACACGGCCAAGCTTCTTTCTTCTTGTTTCCTCTCAGCCATGGTGACTTTGGGTCAAGGTCAGGCTTGGCCAAGCCTTGATCTTCTTCTTGGGCCGCTGCCATGCTTTTCCTTGATCTCCAGTTAAAAGGTTGGGCTTGATCATCTTGGTCTCTCCCAGTTTGGGCTTGACAAGCTTCTCTTTTACTGCATCTTGGGTTGAAAGGCCAATGGGCCTTCAGTTCTAAGGCCCTAACCTGTTGGGTCGATTATCTTGGATATACTTGGATAGGTGTTGGGCCTGGTATACCTGTTGGGCCTTAAAAAATTCCAAGCCCTTCGTAATTTTGCCCATAAGTTGACAGAGAATCCGTCAGCGAGTAGGACACTTTCTTCCCGTGGAAGTGGGAGTCTGCATGTGCGCAAGCATACGCCTCTGCGTATGCGTCATATGCGCGCGCATTAGTTGAGTGTATGCTCTTCTCATGTGCGCGCACATTGGCTGGGGGCATACTCTCCTCATGTGCGCCTGTATGCCTTGCCATGAACATGCGTGCTCCTGGTCGTGTTGTGCACGTATGCCTCCTGGACCATGTTTCTGCGAGTTTGCAGGCGATCTTCTCGCCGGCACTCTAAATCACGCGAGTATCTTGCTCGCCTTTGGACTCTTCTTCAGATGTTGATTCAGGCCTTCCAGGAGTTACATCACAATGAGCTTCATCTACCCTGAAATTTGGCTTGAGCAATAGCATAAATATGTTGATACAAATTCTTGAGTCTACCCCTTCCCGTCCACTCATCCTGCCAAAAAAAGAATTTTATTCCCCCTCCCCACTTCCAGGTAATGCCCATCTAGGTAACCCAAACCCGGTCGGCCCCTTTTTTTCTCTTTTTAAAATATTTAAATTATTTTATTAGTTTATATTTTTTTAAAAAGTTTGGGACCCACTTTTTAAATTACCTATGTTTTAAAATTAATTCCCTCGTGTGTTTTAAATGGATTTCACGTTGAATAAATATGAGTTTATTTTAATTAATATTTTATTATAAATTTATTCTTTATGATTATTTAATTAATTTATTTGAAATAATTATTTTTATTATGTAATTATCTTAAATTAAGATTGAATTTTATTTAAATTATTATTTTATTAATTATCTCAAAATTTTGTACTCATCTAAATTGACCAGAAAAGATAATAAATAAACATTTGCCCCTATGATATAAACACACCCTTTGATGATAAATTTCAGAGTATTCTTAAGAGTTTTGATTTTTCTTCTTTTAACATTTTTGTTAAATTTAATTTCTTAAAATTTTTTAGGAAGCAAGAGTTTTTAGAAGTTTTGTTGAGCCAATGAGCGGGGGTCAACTTATCGGTAAGTCTGTGCCATTTTTTTTTCTTATTTTATTTTCCTAATTTTTGTTTTTACTTTCTTTTAGAATTATAGATTCAATTAGAGGGGATGATTTAATTCTAGGTGGTTATTATTTCGGTATTGCATACGTTGAGTAGGGTTCAAGAGTAGATTCGATCATCCCATACCCTCCCGCATCAGTACCTCTTTATGTTCTCCATGTCTCCATTAAAGCAATAGCTATTTTTTACTTTGATATTTGAAAATGTATCTGCCTCAAACATTGTCATGCATGTAGCCTTTTTTTTTCTAAATATGCTCTGATTTCTCTAAAAGTATAGGGAATAAACCATTATAGATGCATGGTGAGAGAGTTTGGGTCCCTATGGTAGAGAAACCACAACACATTGGTTAGGGAGCATTCTAAAAGTAGATGCTCTATCGTGTTGACTTCCTCTCAACCGCATAACCTACGTGAAGAGAGACGGGAAAAGACATGAATATTACACAAATCTAATAGTGTATAATGGATGATGCTCCTCCAAATGATCTTTTGTCAAGGAAGTATTTTAGCTTTCCATAAGATCTTTCATAAGGTAAAAACCCTTGTGAGCTGGTTATACTCTAAACTCTCCAAGCATATTATACCATGATTTGACTGTATAGTTCCCTGAAGGTGTGTAGCTCCGCCTCCATTTATCTGGAGCCTATAAGTGAGGGGGAAATGGAAGGTTTAGAATTAGATTACTACAGTAATTCGAGTATTATTGCAAAATTTAGAGCATATTTCAACTATTGGTCTGGCAGTCAATGAAGTCATTGACTCTAATAAGTATAGGTTCTTTAGAGGGGCTAGGGCTAAAGAGGCAAGAGTAGGGATTCAGGGGTCCATCCAGGAATGTATAGTGGTTCAAGAACTAAAGCTTTATAGACACAAGTCTTCAAAATTTACCTTCTAGTAAGGATCCTTTTCCACATGAGAGAATCTCGAGATTTGAGGGTGTAGTGAAACAAAGACCAAGTCTTTAAATACATAGCCAGTATTAATTGAACCAAATTGATTACGATATTAGGGAGATGATTATGCCAGCTTAGCTAGTAGAGCTAATTATAGGGATTAAGGTCTTTATTTTCATGAAAATAAAAATGTTTTAACGTTCTGGAGTCAATAACCTGATCTTTATTCAAAACTACTTCTAAAGATAAAGAAGTAGAAACGCATGTACCTGCACTGTATGAAATAGGGAAGATGTCTTAAGCTTCAAAGACCTTAACAAAGCTAGCTAGATGGCTGGACAAAAGCACCATCTGTTGCTGACATTTATAAGGGATTGAATTTATGAACGAAGTTATCAACTCCAATATATTATCTTTTTATCTCCCTCTTAGGATGCAACTTGATTAGTTACAGCTACAACTGAACTCTTTTCTGTATGTGACATCCAAGAGGGTATCCATGTAATATCAATAGTTTGACCATGGATATTACAATTGGTGCAGAATGATCATCTCTTTTCAAAGGTTTATTACCATCCAGTAGTATTTTTACAATTTCTACCTTTTGCCGTAAGAGCAACTCCCATAGAAAGATCGCTCGACTTCAAATTTAACACCAGAGCTAACAGAATGATGGTGTTCCTCCCGTGAAATCAGTGAAGAGATTTTATTAACAGGAGGGTGTCTTCTTATTCGAGAAAAAATATCATTTAAACACATCAAGAAAGACGGCACATATACTCTCAGAAACATCCATTCAATTCGCTAATTCCTCCACTAGTGCATTTTTCGCAGGTGCAAAAAGCGCGGAAGTTGTTCAACTCTTCCCAAAAGGCATTTAATTTTTAACTTAATTAATTATGAAACTAAATTAAATATGAAATTAACTAAAAATTAAAATGATATTTCCATTCAAATTTCTATCTTATTTTTAATTACATTTCTTTACTTGTTCCATATAATTAAAATTTGAACTAAACTCAATGTGTACATAAATATAATACAAGCATGAGAATTTGTGTCAGCATTTTGCAAGTCACTGCAGAATACCCAGCTTGCAGATCCTTTGCAATTGAATCATCTTGACCACATGCTGCAGAAACTAAAATAAATGATCCAGTTCTGCTCCATTACCTTTATCTCTAAACCATATAGCATTTTTGAATGTCCATAGAAACAGGAATTCCCAGCAACATGTGAGATTAAGATCCTGATCAATCAACCACAAGCTTTGAAGGACATATCAGTGATTTTTGAACCATTTGAACAAGTACAAGGAAATAAAGAGAAACAAATTAAAGATAAACAGATCAAGGAGACATAAATACTGACCATATAAAATAGTGAGGAAGCTATTTCTTCTCCCACCAGGAGGTCAATAGCTTTGTTAAGAGTATCAGCAAGAATCTTGCCCAAACAAGTAGCAATCTGACAGAAACTATGTATGTTTAATCAGTTGAAAGGAAGTCAAGTGAATAGCAACCACATGAACAAACAAATCCTAATCTTTACCATCTTTCTTAAAAGCAGAAGAGGCTGGACGAATGAGAACTTGTTTAGCCAAAAACAAAAATTGAGTTTGATTGAATCGCTACAGAGACTTCTAATGATTCAAGCAGAGCTCCTGAAATCTTGTTAAACTAACACATTGCAAAAACAAAAGGGAACGTAAATGTATCAGTACTTTATTAATTAAACAGTATAATTGAATAACATTTAGATAGAATTTGATAAGCAGTTGTATGCACTTAAGATACACACAAAGAAACTTAAAACTCATCATAAAAAATTATGCTATATCAAACAAGTGTTGCTCCTAGGACATGACTATTAGATTTAGACATAAATTACCATGTCTATATCATTTTTTAAGATTTAGACATAAATTACCATGTCTGTATCATATACCCGATCATCAATGAAGTGTCCTATCATCATCCACTTCAAGTTATGTGCAGAACAAGTCCAAAAATTGAATGGAATTCATTTGCAAATCCATATTTCCTTAATACAATTATAAAAATACTATTATCACAAAACATTTCAAATTCTATTAAACTTCATAGAATTTAGAAGTCATTTTTCCAATTTCACAGAAATTTCTATGAAGTGAATTCTTTTGTCATCTTAATACATTCTATATCATTTTTAGCTAAATTAAACTTGAATTCAAGAATAAAATCCACAAAATTTCTGCTGATGTAATAAGAGTACACACCGTTTTAGAAGAACTTCTGGATTATATGGAAATAATTTTTTCCTATGAAGATTTTCCACTGAAGTTTTCAGAGAAAGCAAACAATTTCTGGATTCATTGAATGACTGTCCTCTAGTTCCATAGAGCCTGCAGTTGTACTCCACATCACCCTTATATTCCCTCTCTATTGATGATAGAGAGGTTTGAAAATTTGAGTTGTGTTCGTATACAACTTTCCTTTTCTTAAAAGATGATTTGTCTACAACTATCTCAGGCATTGAGAACTCCACAAATGAAGACCAGGAGTCACAAACTGCACGTAAAGACCTATAAAGAAAAATGTTAATGGAAAAGGCATAAGGACAAGAAAACAGCAAAGGTTTCCCAGAGATCATGTGTAAAGTAAGAGGACTCGGTGGTAGCTCCAGTCTACCTACTAAGTGCAGAAAGTAATGCACAATATAAGCAATCAAATAAACATAATAATTACAAACTGACATTTCAAGAAAACTAACAATCTAGAAGCTATAACAAGAAACAAACGCCACGGATGAAATGCCATATGTTCCATTAACTGCAAATTTCATATTTCCAAGTAAAATAGAAGAATAACAAACTGCCAACCCAACCTCAGAAGATATTCTGCACAACTGCTTCCTATATCTTTTGAAATCAGGTAATCAAGAAGCACTTGATGATCATAGTGCAACTGCAGAAGAAAGGAGAAGAACACACCTAAAGGTTAGAGAAGGAAGGGGAAAATCAGATTAATCAAATAGAAAATGCAGTTTATTCCCTCCTCTAGCCTTTTATGTGCAGGAAGGGTGGTAGGCGTCTAAAAAGGCCATATAGATGCGTAAGACTAACCTCTGAAAGGAATAGGTGGAATAGATGTATGGGATTGAAAAGGCTTGATAAGAGAAAAAAAATATCTTCTTGTGAGTCCTGAGCTTTCAATTTTTGTTTGCAGAACCTACATAGAACAAGAACTATGGTAGTGACTGCCAATTTAGCTAAAAGCAATAGGCGCAAGATAGTATTCACACTCACTGTTGTTCAGCAGAAAACGGTACCCTAACCAGTTGAATTAGCACTTTAAACAATAAATCATCCTGCAGCTCAAAGTCCTCAACAGGTAAATAACTTAGATATTAAGAAAACAAAAGACCTAAGCAAAGCACTAGAAAGGATGTTCAATAGGGATAGGACCACAGAATGATAACCTACAGTTGTCCGTCGATAGATACTATGATTTAGTATCAAATAAGTACAGACAACATTTCATTCAGTAAAATGGCATTCAGATAGCTGCAAAAAAAAAAAACGAAGAGTGCTTTCACATATGCTTTAGTTTTCAGTAATTGGCCTTGTATGCAAGTCATGGTCATTCATATCTAGCCAACCAATCAAAGTGCTTCAGAAAATAAGAAACATATATTCTCCTACATCTGCTCACCAAAATGATAGAATCCTTATCATAATATTCTCTTCCTTCCCACTATCTTTCCATCATGCATGTATAGTGCAAGATGTACCCTAGCCCAGTGTAATCTGTCCCTGCATCTAAAGATTGCTAGTAAAGGCTGTAGGCATAAAAGAAAAACTCATGCAACAAACAGCTTAGGGTAGAAGTGAGAAGGGAGAGAGAGAGAGAATGAGAAAGAGACAGAGAGCACAGAATAAGTGAGAAGGGAGAGAGAAAGAGAGAGAGAAAGAGACAGAGCACAGAATTTTAACATGGTTTTGCATTATGCCCACATAATAGAGCCCCCACTGAAACAGTTTGCCATTCAAGAACTGAATCTCCTTCATACAGTTGGAGAATACTCAGAACAGATAACCATCCTAGGCGAGAAGATAGCATACCATATGCAGAAGGGTTTTGTCCCATGCAACAGTCACAAAACAGGTTTACAACAACAAAAAAATGAGATGGAGAACAGAGAACCTAAACCGATGATAGTATATAAGAGGAAAACAGCTGGCAGAAACACGGCAAACATCTGATGAAAGAAGTACTTGGCATTGTAGCTAAGCATGAAAGAGGTGGGCAACATGGCCTAAGATGGGGTAAGGACAAGGGTGATGTAGCAGAAATCAAGGATCAGAGGGGAATTAGGCTTAAAGGAAGAGTCTCAAAATAGTTAATTCATTTTGTTAGTCGGCTAGGGTTTTTCTCATCTTCTCCGTTGTAACTATTTTCTGTTGAGATTTTTGCAGGAATTTAGCGTTGTTTCTACTTTTTGTAGGCTTTATAAATACTCTGTAAATCACTTTGTCAGTATGGTAAGTTTTATACAAAAGGTCTCTCGATTTACACTCTCTCTAGACTATTTCTCCATTCTCTCCTCTCTTTTTCCCTTCAATCTTCTTCTTTCCCTAACACATCCATCATTTATCTTCTTACAACAGAGCAGTCTTCCGGTACATGTCAAAGGTACATAACAACTTGGTATGGAGCCTAATGATTCCGATGAGCCGCTTGCAAGTGGCAATGCCACAAGC